TCATAATAAATCACATGATTTAACTTACAAATGGAATATAATAAAATTTCTTTGTATTAATACTATCGATTAGTTGGTACTTACAACGTAAAGCTAAATGTATGCGAAAAAAAACAAATATTACAAAATATACACAAGGGTTTAAACAAACATTTGATTGCTTAATCTAGCTGGTCGCGCTACAAAACGAAAATACAAAAATAGCTCTTTATATAGTACAATACATTAAATGCTGGTGCTATTTTGATAAAACTTTAATTTAAATCATAAGAAAATGCTACATAAGAAAGTTAAAAATTGTTTTGGACTTAGTTAAAATTGAATTGATTCTACAAAGCCGGTCGCATAGAAATTAATGATAATGATGATAGTTTCGTAAAATAAATTATTACACATTGATGGATACATTTTTAGGCATGAAATCCTGTTAAAATTAAAACTAGTTGCAAAATACGAGCCAATTTCCTAATATTCCAAATCATAATCACGTTACGAAAAACACACCACCGAAGAATCTACCGATACAAGGTCACTTTCGATTCAAATCCTGCATTGCGATTGGTCCTTTCACTCCTTTCAATATCCACCAATAGGAGTCGATCATGACGAGTTAGTTCCGCGTCGCGCCGAGAGATGGCGCCGTAAGGAAACGTCAAGACAAGTTTGTTGTTTGTTTGTTGTCGTGGGCCAGCCATGTTTGTTTGTTTGTTAGTTTAGAGCGATGTGACTTGCAGCGAGCCGGTGGCCTCGGATCACCCGCCATTACTCGGCTGGTCCTGTAAAAGGCATACAACTATAATAACTATAAATTAAATAATGAGAAAATTGAAAAATTCACTAGCGACCGCCGCCGGGACTTGAACCCGGGTCTGTGGATCACCGTTCCACCGCTCTACCAACCGAGCTACGGGCGCCTAGCGGACCCTGGTGAATATCTCAACATCTTGATGCTCGTCTCCAAGCAACGATTAAGCGACATCTAGTATATGAGAATAATATAGCACTGTGAGTGCATTAAAAATTCCAATATAATAACTATAACCATAACAGCCAAAACAGTCCACTGCTGGACATGGGGGTATAAATTGCCATACTCCCCACGCTTGGCAGGCAGTTTTACGAGCGCAGTGCAAGATGTTGCATTTACGGGGAACGCTGCTGCCCATTCCCTGGATGATTTATCCCTTAGTCGCTTTTTACAATACCCACGTAAAATGGAATAAAAAACCAAGGAATAAAAGGAAAAGTAATACAAGTATAATTTTAAATCTAGAACACTGAAAACCAACCTTAGGAGATAGTATATTTTTAAATAATATTTCATAAATAAAATTTACTTTAATTATGGTAGGTGGGGGGTCACATACATCTTATTCCGGTCCTGTTCGACACCAATAATTTAAGAAAATAACTAAATAACATATTTTACCTGTATATTAGGGTCAACGCCTTCCTTGGGGTATGAGATGTCTTCGGGCGGGAATCCTGGAAGACAAACACAACAATAAGTAAGTGGAACAAGGCCTCAATAATTTTCTTTTAATTATTTATAGGTTCTAATAATGAATATAGTGTAGTTTCTGTGTGGTAGCAGCTAAGAATATTGCCACCCTTAGTCCACCCAGGACTTTTGACCTCGACTGGGATATCTGTCGACTATAGCATTCCCAAAGAGGGTTGACGTCAAGCATGCGTTAGGTCAGAAAACATTGCCAAATCTTTTTGCTACATTTCTAACAAAATATGTTGCGCCGACTCTAACTGATTCTGACCAGGGCAGGAAGATGATGATGAATGAATACAGTGTAATACAGATTTCTAAAAACTGTTTTTTTAAAATAAAACATACTGTGTTTCGCATATGTGCCGCAATATTTTTTTTACTCTAGAAATTGAAAGGGTCGCATGACACCGCATCGTACGGCTGTCATTTTCTTGATTTCCTTACCACTATGCGCCCTCAAAGCGTCGTTCGCTTTTCTAAGCGCAGCTAGTTCTCGTCGCATTCTCGCCCGTTCACTGTGCAACGCGGGCAGCGCTCGTAACAGACCACCGAGAGAGTTCTGGAGGCCGCAAGTGACTTTGACAAGCCTATAGACTACTTAGCTGACTTTCGAAGCCAGTTTTATGACTTGACATTCTATACCTACTCTTGACATTCTAAAAAGCTTATATTGTAACTTGTAAAATAAATATAAATAAAGCTTACCACTATGCGCCCGTAAAGCGTCGTTCTGTTCTCTAAGCGCAGCTAGTTCTCGTCGCATTCTCGCCCGTTCATTATGTAATGCGGGTAACGCTCGTAACAGACCGCCGAGAGAGTTCTGGAGGCCGCACGTCACGTTGACAAGAATAAAGATTACTTAGCTGACTTTCGTTACAGCGAAGCCAGTTTAAATGTCCCGACTTGGCATTCTTACGTAGCTGACTTTTATTACAGTGCAGCCATTTTGAATGTCCCGACTTGACATTAGATAATGCTTACCACTATGAGCCCTTAAAGCGTCGTTCTGTTCTCTAAGCGCGGCAAATTCTCGTCGCATTCTCGCCCGTTCATTATGTAATGCGGGTAACGCTCGTAACAGACCACCGAGAGAGTTCTGGAGGCCGCACGTCACTTTGACAAGACTAAAGATTACTTAGCTGACTTTCATTACAGCGAAGCCAGTTTAAATGCCCCGACTTGGCATTCTTACTTAGCTGACTTTCGTTACAGCGAAGCCAGTTTAAATGTCCCGACTTGGCATTCTTACTTAGCTGACTTTCGTTACAGCGAAGCCAGTTTAAATGCCCCGACTTGGCATTCTATAATGCTTACCGCTGTGCGCTCTTAAGGCATCTGTATAATGCGTTTGTATGTATAATGCGTCTGTATGTATAATGCGTCTGTATGTATAATGCGTCTGTATGTATAATGCGTCTGTATATATAATGCGTCTGTATGTATAATGCGTCTGTATGTATAATGCGTTTGTATGTATAATGCGTCTGTATGTATAATGCTTACCACTATGCGCTCTTAAAGCGTCGTTCTGTTCTCTAAGCGCGGCAAATTCTCGTCGCATTCTCGCCCGTTCATTATGTAACGCGGGTAACGCTCGTAACAGACCGCCGAGAGAGTTCTGGAGACCGCACGTAACTTTGACAAGTCTACAGATTACTTAGCTGACTTTCGAAGCCAGTTTAAATGTTCCAACTTGGCATTAGATAATGCTTACAGCTATGAGCTCTCAAAGCGTCGTTCTGTTCTCTAAGCGCGGCTAGTTCTCGGCGCATTCTCGCCCGTTCATTATGTAATGCGGGTAACGCTCGTAACAGACCGCCGAGAGAGTTCTGGAGGCCGCAAGTTACGTTGACAAACCTATAGATTACTTAGCTGACTTTCATTACAGCAAAGCCAGTTTAAATGTCCCGACTTGACATGCTAATAATGCTTACCGCTATGCGCCCGTAAAGCGTCGGTCTGTTCTCTAAGCGCGGCTAGTTCACGTCGCATTCTCGCCCGTTCATTATGTAATGCGGGTAGCGCTCGTAACAGACCGCCGAGAGAGTTCTGGAGGCCGCACGTCACGTTCACGAGGCGGGTCGCTAGCGCTGCGGCGGAAGCGTTGCTTTCTGGAAGGGAATGAGCATAAATTCATAAACAATCTCAGAAAATATTTAATAGAAAAGTGAATATGTTAAAAAACAAAACTTCCGACTGCGGTAATTTGAAAGTAGTATTTATTTTGCTTTAAAAATCCGCCATCTTGAATCTATAATTTTTTTAATATAGCCAGTGTCACTCGCGCTACAGAGACGAATCTAACGACACCTTATATGTCAAAATCCCACTATCCGTTTGGGCTGTAGCCCGTGAAAAAGAATTTTCTTGTCCACATACATACATACATACATACATACATACATACTCTCGAAAAACATAACCCTCCTTCTGAGGCAAAATTACGGCACACACAGTACTAGATGTTTTTTCATCACTAGAAAAATTGCCCCCACTCCCAACCCCACATGATTCATTACCGCCCGATATAGTCCCACAGTTACCGCCATAGTTATATGGCTATGGTTATAGTTATATGCTTATAGTTCCGCCCTGTTAAATTACTGAATGTTGGTTATGTTTCAAACTAAAAATAATAATAAAAATATGGGTCACTCCGACCCCCTACCTCTCTGAGTCCGGCCCCGTCATACCGAATAATTTTTATATTTCTTTTATTTAAATATTGCATTTTTTTTTTGCACGAAGTAATATAAGAAGGAACCTTAGAAAAGGTTCACATGCTGGAAAAATGCCTTATTCCCGCGGGCAGATGAGTTGCAGCGAGTGAAACCGGTAACGGCCGGTACTATTCAATAAGTAAGTATAACAGTATGAAAGCATCGTCCGCGCTCGCTTCCGCATCCGCTTCTATACCGTCGTCGGTTTTGTGCTCGATATCGGTCGTATTTATCTATATCTACTAACTAATCTAATGTAATCTTATCCTTAGAGTATATATAAGCAAGCTATAGAGTGCGCATTAGGCTCCGCGGCGTACTGTCAAAGCGTAAGCAGTAGCTCCCTAGATACAGACGTCAAATGTATGGGAAATTATAGAGGTTCAGTAGTGTTGTCACTGTCGTTTTGCTACTGACAGACAGAGAGGTGGCGCCCAGACTACTGACGTCAGTTCTAACTTTTTAGGCTCACTCTATAGCTTGCTTATGTATACTCTAAGATATCTATTCGCTAATCTTATCTTATTTAATCATACCTAATGCATCGTCCGCGCTCGCTTCGCTAGCTGGTCTCGGTAGTTCCGCTAGTCTCGCTTCCGCATCCGCTTCTATACCGTCGTCGGTTTTGTGCTCGGAATCCGTCGTGTCTGTGGAAAAAAACACTTCGTTTTTGAAATTGGAACACTATCAAATTCTAAGTAACTTATGTATGTTGATTTTTAATACACTTACAGTGATTTTCATAAATTGAAAATGAGACAATTGAAAAATTAATTAGCGTCTGCCGGGACTTGAACCCGGGACCGTGGAATACGGTCCCACCGCTCTACCAACTGAGCTACGGGCGCCTGGCGGACCCTGACGAATTTCTCAACCTCTTGATGCTCGTCTCGTAGCGACGACTAAGCGACATCTTGTAGTAGTTTTTGCAACTAAATACTTTGGTTAGTCCACGTAACAGTAGGAATTCAAACCTTATGATGAAGCTTTTTGCTTAAATCAATGTATTTTTTTCTGAGTTACTTTTTCTATCAAGAAATGTACAAAGAAGTCGATCAAGACAGCGCCTTCAATGAAAGAAATACATACCGTTTCTTTGAAAACGGTACCTTCAATGAAAGGAATACATACCGCTTCTTTGAAAACGGTACCTTCAATGAAAGGAATACATACCGCTTCTTTGAAAACGGTACCTTCAATGAAAGGAATACATACCGCTTCTTTGAAAACGGTGCCTTCAATGAAAGGAATACATACCGCTTCTTTGAAAACGGTGCCTTCAATGGAAGGAATACATACCGATTCTTTGAAAACGGTACCTTCAACGAAAGTAATACATACCGCTTCTTTGAAAACGGTACCTTCAATGAAAGGAATACATACCGCTTCTTTGAAAACGGTACCTTCAATGAAAGGAATACATACCGCTTCTTTGAAAACGGTGCCTTCAATGAAAGGAATACATACCGCTTTGAAAACGGTACCTTCAATGAAAGGAATACATACCGCTTCTTTGAAAACGGTACCTTCAATGAAAGGAATACATACCGCTTCTTTGAAAACGGTACCTTCAATGAAAGGAATACATACCGCTTCTTTGAAAACGGTACCTTCAACGAAAGTAATACATACCGCTTCTTTGAAAACGGTACCTTCAACGAAAGTAATACATACCGCTTCTTTGAAAACGGTACCTTCAACGAAAGTAATACATACCGCTTCTTTGAAAACGGTACCTTCAACGAAAGTAATACATACCGCTTCTTTGAAAACGGTACCTTCAATGAAAGGAATACATACCGCTTCTTTGAAAACGGTACCTTCAATGAAAGGAATACATACCGCTTCTTTGAAAACGGTACCTTCAATGAAAGGAATACATACCGCTTCTTTGAAAACGGTACCTTCAATGAAAGGAATACATACCGCTTCTTTGAAAACGGTACCTTCAATGAAAGGAATACATACCGCTTCTTTGAAAACGGTACCTTCAATGAAAGGAATACATACCGCTTCTTTGAAAACGGTGCCTTCAATGAAAGGAATACATACCGCTTCTTTGAAAACGGTGCCTTCAATGAAAGAAATATATACCGCTTCTTTGAAAACGGTGCCTTCAATGAAAGGAATACATACCGCTTCTTTGAAAACGGTGCCTTCAATGAAAGAAATATATACCGCTTCTTTGAAAACGGTACCTTCAATGAAAGTAATACATACCGCTTCTTTGAAAACGGTACCTTCAATGAAAGGAATACATACCGCTTCTTTGAAATCGGCGCCTTCAATGAAAGAAATATATACCGCTTCTTTGAAAACGGTACCTTCAATGAAAGGAATACATACCGCTTCTTTGAAAACGGTGCCTTCAATGAAAGGAATACATACCGCTTCTTTGAAAACGGTACCTTCAATGAAAGGAATACATACCGCTTCTTTGAAAACGGTACCTTCAACGAAAGGAATACATACCGCTTCTTTGAAAACGGTACCTTCAACGAAAGTAATACATACCGCTTCTTTGAAAACGGTACCTTCAACGAAAGGAATACATACCGCTTCTTTGAAAACGGTGCCTTCAATCAATGTAATACATACCGCTTCTTTGAAAACGGTACCTTCAATGAAAGGAATACATACCGCTTCTTTGAAAACGGCGCCTTTAACAATAGTAATACATACCGCTTGTATCTCTAGTGTGGCTGCGGCCCCTGTGTTTCCGACAGCTGTCACAACGGCCCCGCGACCTGGCTGCCACCGTTCCTGCCTCATTGACAGTTAAAGCTTTCGTCAGCGCCTCGGTAAGTAATAAGGAACAACTTTCCCCAAGGAACATAGGTCGACATATATAAAAAAAATACAAAATCTCCTATCAGCTGATGTGAGTTACTATGGGAGGTCCAAATCTCGGTCAGGTATTTAACTTTTGTAACAAGTGACCACCACTTTACTCACCGATTAGTACCACTTCTGATGCATAGATGTCGCTGTTAGTTTTCTAAAACGCGGTAACGACTTGTTCACTGAATTTACATAAATTAACCTCCTAAAGTAAGTAGTATGATGGAGCCGGCAGAGAAGAATAGCACCACCCCCTCTCTACCCGTGGGGGTCGTAAGAGGCGGCCCAAATAGCCAGGGCCAACCGTATGGTGGCGGTTAATCCACCACAAGAGCATTCCCAAGGAGAGTTGACGTCTGGTAGGCGGCCGGTCATAAAATTCAGCCAAATCCTTTTGCAACACGATTTTGTGTTCATCGAAACGTGTTGCGCCGACCCCAAGTAATTGGGATTAGGGCAGGAAGATTATGAACCTCCTAAAGTAAGTCGGTTCGCTGGAAGTAATACATACCGCTTGTATCTCTAGTGTGGCTGCGGCCCCTGTGTTTCCGACAGCTGTCACATCTGCCGCGCGACCTGGCCGCCACCGTTCCTGCCTCGTTCACAGTTAAGGCTTTCGTCAGCGCCTCGGTAAGTAATAAGGAACAACTTTCCCCAAGGAACATAAGTCGACATACATAAAAAAATACAAAATCTCCTATCAGCTGATGTGAGTCACTATGGGAGGTCCAAATCTCAGTCAGGCATTTAACTTTTGTAACAAGAGACCACCAATTTACTCACTTATCCCTGAATAGTACCACTGTCGATGCATAGATGTCGCTGTTAGTTTTCTAAAACGCGGTAACGACTTGTTCACTGAATTTACATAAATTAGCTTGTAAAGTAGGAAGTGGACTATCGATACTAGTCGATAGTTTTGGACTATCGATGCTAGTCGATAGTTTTGGACTATCGATGCTAGTCGATAGTTTTGGACTATCGATGCTAGTCGATAGTTTTGGACTATCGATGCTAGTCGATAGTTTTGGACTATCGATGCTAGTCGATAGTTTTGGACTATCGATACTAGTCGATACTCGATAGTTTTGGACTATCGATACTAGTCGATACTCGATAGTTTTGGACTATCGATACTAGTCGATACTCGATAGTTTTGGACTATCGATACTAGTCGATACTCGATAGTTTTGGACTATCGATACTAGTCGATACTCGATAGTTTTGGACTATCGATACTAGTCGATACTCGATAGTTTTGGACTATCGATACTAGTCGATACTCGATAGTTTTGGACTATCGATACTAGTCGATACTCGATAGTTTTGGACTATCAATACTAGTCGATAGTTTTGGACTATCGATACTAGTCGATAGTTTTGGACTATCGATACTAGTCGATAGTTTTGGACTTATCGATACTATACTATCGAGCGGCAACACTAGTCAGTCGGTTCGCTGGAAGTAATACATACCGCTTGTATCTCTAGTGTGGCTGCGGCCCCTGTGTTTCCGACAGCTGTCACATCTGCCCCGCGACCTGGCTGCCACGGCGCCTGCCTCGTTCACAGTTAAAGCTTTCGTCAGCGCCTCGGTAAGTAATAAGGAACAACTTTCCCCAAGGAACAATAGGTCGACATATATAAAAAAATACAAAATCTCCTATCAGCTGATGTGAGTTACTATGGGAGGTCCAAATCTCAGTCAGGCATTTGACTTTTGTGACAAGATACCAACACTTTACTCACTTATTCCTGAATAGTACTACTTTCGATGTATAGATGTCGCTGTTAGTTTTCTAAAACGCGGTAACGACTTGTTCACTGAATTTACATAAATTAGCCTGTAAAGTAAGACATTTTGGTTCGCTCCTGGGGCTTCGGTCAGTCGCTTCGCTGGAAGTAATACATACCGCTTGTATCTCTAGTGTGGCTGCGGCCCCTGTGTTTCCGACAGCTGTCACATCTGCCCCGCGACCTGGCTGCCACTGCGCCTGCCTCGTTCACAGTTAAAGCTTTCGTTAGGGCCTCGGTCAGTTGGTTCGCTGGAAGAAACAAGGACATTTTTATTGAATAACCAGAATTTACTATACGTTTACGCCGCCGTGTGATGCCGGCTTAGTATTTCATCACCTCATATCTATCTCGTGGGTGTCGCAATCGCATTGCAACATCTTGCATTGCGCTCACCAACCCGCCTGCCAAGCGTGGTGAGTATAGCAAATACCCCCCTACTAGGGGGAGGCTCATGTTGTTTAGCAGTGGACGTATATCAAATACCCTTGTCGCTTCGCTTCTAACGACACCCACGGGAAAGATATTTGGTGATGCTATTCTAAGCCGGCACCCCACTGAACTTGTAGACTATAACGTATGTAATAATAGCAAAAAAGTTCATAAATTTTGATTACTTTATTATTTAATTTTTTTAAATTTTATGACTATTTATTTAAATTGCATTATTTTAAATTATATGTTTTATCGAAACCTTTTACTAATATTATATTTTACCTACGAATTGTATCGCTTCGATTCGATTTAGAGTTAGTGTTTTTAATTTCTATATTGAGTTGCATACCAATTAAATGTAAAATTGTATGATTTTATAAATGATCATAGCTTAGCTTATCTTAATACCTTGCGCTTGTGCTGCTAACAGTAGTTGGTGCATATCAGGAGGGGCTTGCTTCAATTCCATTTATTTCATTCTCTGCCTACCACGCAAGGGATAAAGGCGTGATGTATGTATGTAAGTGGGTAAAATACCTTGCGCTTGAGCGGCTAACAGTAGTTGGTGCATATTAGGAGGGGCTTGCTTCAATTCCATTTATTTGACGCTCTGCCTACCACGCAAGGGATAAAGGCGTGATGTATGTATGTAAGTGGGTAAAATACCTTGCGCTTGAGCGGCTAACAGAAGTTGGTGCATGTCAGGTGGGGCGTGCTTCAATTCATCCTCCATACTCGCTTGACGAGACAGATTATAATTTAGCGAGATAGATTATAA